TTTGGTTTAAGTTTTGTTCAAATCCCCTTTCTAACTCCTTTCAATCTAATTTAACAATTAAAATCTATCACACATTCTGGTATTGTTTTGTAATTAACAGTGGAACATGTATTGAGTTTATTAATTACAAGTATATTACTTGTTAATTGCAATTATTTACATTAATTAGGTTACAGGACTAGCTCTGCATTCTTCAAAACATGTATACAGCAAATGTACTCGAGTTTTTTCATGCTTTTCAGGATCTTCCAAACTTGATTACTCTAATTATATTCTGAATGATCCGCTATTGACTAATGCTGAACACCGATGAATAGCATTTAAATATAAAATTAGTGATTCAGTGACACAAAAAAAAATATTTCAACAATACGGAATCCGATGGACTTGTCTTTTAGAGTTGCCATATATTGATATACCCCGATTTACTATAATTGATCTCATGCATAATATATTTTTAGACACAAGTAAACGTATAGTGCATCGTGCATGGATAAATGAGGATTCACCAAAGCTTGGTATTAAACAATTATATGAAATTCAGAATCTAATTAATGCAACTCCTTTACCGGTTGATATGGGGTGTATAAATTTTAGGATCACATCAGGTTTTGATGCACTTATAGCTGATCAGTGGAAGACGTGGGTTTTGATTTATTCAACTTATGTTTTGTACAAATTTCTTGATGAAGCTGATCGATGATGTTGGCAAGCATTTGTTACTGCGGTTTCAATATGGAGCCAAAGAATTATAACTGAAGCCGAAATTGAAGCTGGTCATATAGCTATGATGACGTTCTTAAAGTATACTGAGCAAATTTATGGGAAATATTTCTGTTCTCCTAACATGCACTTGCACAAACATTTACGAGAATGTATGCTTGATTACGGACCATGGTATTCATTTTGGTGTTTCGCTTATGAACGTTATAATGGGCAAGTTATATATATATTTTAAATATATAATTGTTATTATTTATTTAATTTATTTACATTATTAATGTGATTTATTACATTATGCATGATTTAATTTATTTACGTTATTTTATTTTATTTTATTTATATTATGTATTATTTAATTTACGTTATTTATTTATTTAATTTATTTATATTATTTATTTAATTTATTTACTTATATTATTTATTTACTTTAGAGAACTCGGTTTGTTTCCTAATTCAAATCGCAATATGGAGCTGGAAGTGCTAGAAAATTTTAATCGTCAAATTTATATTCAACAAATTAAAGCCAAAGCTTATTCCTACTTGCCGCAAAATTTTTTATCATTATTGGATTTAATTGCGCAAACTAATATTGAAAAAAATGGAACTTTGGGAAACTACAATTTTATGGTTCAAGAGGCTTTAGACTTCCGTGCAATGTCTGGTGGATTAATTAATCATATTGTAACTGGCTCAGAACAATTTTCTGGGCATTTTATTGGACCTTTTCATGAGATTATCTTACCAAATAAGATAACTGATTTTCTTGTTCAATATTATACAAATATTTATCCGAATTACAGCTTTCACAGTGAAAATCAAAAAACAAATTCAAAACAATCAATTCTAGTTTCATCAACATCCTGTCGAGCAATAGCTCTCAAGCTTGGAGATGAAATATATCAGTCATTCTTTTCACGCTCTGATTTAAATTCAAATATATTCGCACGATGGCAACTAGATGATGGTAAAAGAATTAATTGGCCAGGAGTAATTAAGTTTTTTTTTGAACACCGTATATTTTTACCAAATTCGGTAGCACCAACTAGCCATTATCTTGCCATAGTTGATTGGTACAAGATGGATCCACAAAAGCAAAGTTACTTTCATGTCAAATCACATGATAGTGCATTGTCTACAAATTCCGATGGAAGTTATCACGCTGAATTATGGGAAGATCAGTTTGTTGAGCGAGGAT